GTCTGAGCTTCGGCAAAAGACAAATGCAGTCTGGAACAGATTCCTTCCATATGTTTGCACCAGGTTAATCGCTGTTTTACTTGTGCTATTTAAAGTGGACAGATCAGTCAGCCAGATGTCATCTTCTCTGCAGATGGCAAACATAAAGTGGGAATTTTTATTAAATTCACAGGTCTTATAACTTGATCATTTATTGCCGTTTATTTCGTGCAATTACGCTTCTGTGTTCTTCTAGTGGAGCATATGAATCTTCGCTTTTGCCTTCCGCAAAGGTTACCAACGTGAGGTTAGTTCTAATGGTGAAACGAATGGTATTTACTAATTCGTACTTCCATTACCATCTGCTCTAATGTTGACCTAATTTTGTTTGTCAGTGCTGACAAACAGTAAATTTACGTGGCATAAACTTTCAATTAATTGACATTTGAAATGCCTGACGTCCACAAGCACTCATTTGTGTGATTTTCTGCTTCAGTGGTGCGCTGACGCACAGAACATCTATTCCAAACGTAACGCAAAGGATGCCAGACTATTCGAAGGTGTTGAAAGTGGCACTTCAGCTAATTATACAACTATGTATTCTTCCTTCGTACATTTATGCTCCAACGGTGGTCTTCCGTGGTGTTTTTATTCAGGACTGGAAGCCTTAGAAGAGATCGTTCAAGGTTGTTGGGGGAATGCAATAAAGGGTGACACTGTTTTACACGTAGTCGATGCATCAACCCGCGGCATGGCCGCAATATGGCAAAAAGAGGCCGGTTTCGAACTCAAGAATTACCAGGTTCGATTGCAGAGAACGGAAAATCTTAGTCTTAATCGTGAACTCTACTGAACAAGCAATCTACCCACGTTGCTTCAGGGGAACCAGTCGAGAAACAGGCATTCATTTGACTCACATGGTCTTCTGACGTGTTCATACCAAAACAGACTCGACTTTGTGGCTGACTCAGATTTTGTTCAACCAGATGGCTGATTATTATTAGTGTAATAATCCGCTTAAGGTGTAACCCTGAAAAAAACCGGATCACTTAATTTGAGAGCAGTGTTCTAATTAACTTTTCACGAACTCACGAAAGTTTCGTATCTGTGATTTGTTTGTAATATCACTGCCTTTTATGGCATTCACTGAAAAACAAAGCAATACATGATTTGCAATTATATATTTACCGTTATTTCATATCAGTGGCACGTTATTAGATTTTGTATGCAGCTAAGCCTTGAACTTTGTGCCATGGGACGAATAAGTCAGAGTTACGTCATCCTAAAGGAACGCGGTGGTATTTAGAAATTGTTTTGATCGAGAATGTATGGCATGAGAACGAACTGACTTCAGCCTGAATATATGGAAGAATATGAATTAATAAAAACTAATATCTAGAAACAGGATCAACGATGAATGACAATAACGTAATGCAGTTTAATTTCAATAGCCTAATCATCATTTCATATCGCTGCTAATACAAGGATTACATGTGACAGAAAACAATTTTACATACGTCATATGTTGAAGTGAAACGTATTCTGTGGCGTCGTGTTACCACGTGCAAACGTTGTTGTCGCAGATGCCTCGCAAGCACTGATGATTATAAAAGCATCGTTCACCGACGCCAAGCTTTGCTTGCAACGCGCTGGTCACGGCACATTCGCCTCTGAGGCAAAGATTGGAGGCGCACTCGCTGTCCCTCGTACACAGCTGACGGTCCCTCAAGTTTGAACCAAAGACATCGCTGTACGACACACACTGCCAGTCGATGCATCGGCCCATGCCGCAGTCGTTGTCGAACCGGCAACGTCTCAGAAACGCCGACAGACTCGGATTGCCTGAATCGGGGCAAACACCCTCAAAGCACCTTCCGAACGGACAGTCGTTGTCGAACACGCATCGTTGTCCCCGGCCGATTGCAGAGTACGCCGAAAATGTGGTGGTGGTGCGAGGAAAATTGGAGAAAACGCTTGCACCGCCTCCGCCTCCGCCACTACCACCACCGCCACCACTTCGGCAAACACCGTTCCAGCACAGGCCAGAATAGCACTGGATGTCGGAGACGCACCGTTCGTTGCCCAGCAACTTACCGCTGCCATCCGACCATCGTCGAGTGCACAGGTTGTTTCGACAGTAGTTAGAAATGCAGTCTGTGTCGTACTTGCACCAACCGTAGTCCGGAACTAGAGAGCCGGGCAGCAGCGAACCGATCGCACCCCCTCTAGACATGGAATAAACGCAGACGCCATTTTCGCATATGCCGCCGTCGCAGTCGGAGCCATACAGGCACTGCCTACCGCCAAACATGCCATTGTTCAACATGGTGCACACCCGGTTCACGCATCTGCCAGAAGCACAGTTGTAGTCGTAACGACAGGGACCACCTGGCCCAACTCGTCCGGCTATTACAGAACTTCTGCCGCACACTCGGTTATAGCACATGTTCGAGAAACACTGCTGGTCCAGCATGCACGGTCCGCCGTCGCCCACCTTCATGAACGATCCACTTTCACTGGCACAAACGTGGCCGAGACATAGGCCGGACAGACACTGGGAGTTCACCTGACAGTAGGTACCTTCTCTTGACAGGTATGCATAGGCGACCAACAGCAGCCAAGCACCGACCGTAGCGTTCAACAAACGGGAAACAACCATATGATTATAGCTGCACAGCCGGATATCGAATTTGAGAGTCACTATCGCACCGGCTACCACGATCGACAAACGTAGACTTCGCCACGGCCACAAGAATGGTTCTTCAAGGATAGCCGGCCATGTTCAAAATTTGTTGCCAGCGTAAACAAAATAAAAACAAGCAAAAAATCTAATCTGGTCCTGCATCGAACAATAATTAAAATTTATTAATCACGTTGACGATTCATTCACATGACTTGAAAACAGGAACCACACAAACAGAGGAGAGAAAAGACAAGGTTGCACAGAGTGGCATACAAATTCCGACACGGTTCCGCTGAAACCAATCGTAACAGTGGTAAACACTTCGAAAGTGGATCGCAATATTAAATGGCCGATAGAAAGCATTTAACAGGCAACGCCTCGTGACGGCCACTTTATTGTAATCATCGCAGGAGTGTATCAACTGGGTCACGTGGTCTTCATAACAACAAATTAACAATCCGATTTAATAGTTCGTCGATTTCCATCCTTATTACCTATTAGACACTGGACGCACTGGGCGATTTCATGTGGTAGCAAACATGCCACTAATGAATATTCAGAATCAATCATTTAATCCGTCAATTGTAAGACGAGCTTACGACTATCAACAAGTATGTTAGCTATTGTTCTGCATAATCACTTTGAAATCGGTGTTCCTGTTTTCACCAGCCACTCTGGAACTTGAGTTCTATATAATTTACAGATATACTGATAGAGAAACGCTCAATCGAATACCTGGTCTTTTTCAAGGCCTCTTATTCCTTTCTGAGAGCGGCGGCACCTTCAAAAGTTTTTTTTAATGTT